GCCTGAGCTCCATAGAGAGCGATCAGAACAGGACTCAATTCAGCCATTCTCATTCTAGAACTTCAGTTGAGTCTAGATTTCTGTCTGGGTTTAGTGCACTCAAAAAATGTTCACTTGCTGTTTTAACTGCAACACATCACATCTTGTCAAATCACACACAATCAAAAAAAAAAAGTTCACAATCACAGCTTACTTCTGCAGCAACTCCAAACGGGTTTGTTCTGTTTATAAAAATGTGTTTATAGAATCACTCTACTGTTGCTCTCACTTTATATCACTTTGTTCGACACTTTCGATTTGTCACTTTTTATGTTTGCACGCGTTTCTCAGCATGGAGTTACTGAGGTCTTCAGAAGCTGTTTTGAGTCCATCACAATTTTGACACCCTACACATTCTTTTATTTGTAAACAAAATTTAGATTGCGCCTGAATTGAATAAAGTTTTTAAAAACGGTGTCATTTTATTGCTGTAGACTTCGAATGCAAATATTAAAAGAAACCTTAATAAACAATAGCGTTTCCTAGCAAGATCAGTTTTCCTATATTCATTGGAATTTATACTAATATTAAAGTCTCAAATCTGGTGATCAAAACCTTCATAAAACCATGCAAGCTAAAAAAAATGTATAAAAAATGTGTAAAAACTAATTTTATATTACTCTTCACATAAATCAGTTCGCTTCATAACAGCCTTTGGTTTGTATTGATATTAAAAGGTAACTTGTTTTCAACTGGTTTGAGAAGTACTGAGTGTGTTAGTGAAACAAAAGGATGCATTCAGACAGACATTTCAAACACCACTTTTTTTATTGGAAAGAGTTTATGAGGAGCTGGACGCAGCCACTGCTGCCCGACGGGGCTTGGGCACGGTTCCCTCACGGAATCCATTTCTGAAATACACACAAAAAAAAAAAACATACTCGAGTCAACATAACATCACAAATAATAGCCCTAGAGATAATTCACAAGCCCATAGCATGACTGCAATGGTCTCAAATCTATCGATCAAGTCCCTTCCAACAGTAGTTTCAAAAAACCCAACTGGTCTGAAGAATAAAAACTGAACAGAAAACAGATCCTAACATGGGTCAGGCTTACCTCAGTATAAAATTGTTATCACTGGACAGTCATTTGTTCAGACATTTATTTTTTAACATCATTGGTAAGCCACTGTATAGATGCTAATTTAACCTGACTACAGCATCTCAGGTTTTAGGCAAGTATCAAATCACAGGATGAACAGGAAGATCTCCATCAACGACAATACACTGTGTCAATGTCCGATAACAAAAAAGAAAAAAATCCCAATTTGGCAGAACTCCCAAAAGTCCGAAAATGCCTCAAGAAAACACTAAACTCAAAGATTAAAAGCATGAAAGTCTGAGCAGACCACTGCATGCCCGTTTCCTCACCTGAACCTGCGGAAAACAACCTTCAGGTGTCTCATGCGGCCGGTTCCTGTGGTGCTGCGTCTCTTGGCCTTAACGCTCCAGTTGTCTGCAAACAAAAACAAGTACATTTTAAAACGCATGAAAATAAAATGCATTCCTCTAGCCACCCATAAACATCTCAGACTTACCTCAGTTCAAACCGGTTATCACTGGACAGTCATTTGTTCAGACATTTATTTTTGGCTTTTTCACTGGAGAAAGCACTATTATGTATAGGGGACTCGTATTCACAAGACATTAACCGATGGACTGCAGTGGTGTGGATTACTGTGATGCTTTTATCAGCTGTTTGGACTCTCATTCTGACGGCACCCATTCACTGCAGAGGATCCGTTGCCGAGCAAGTCATGTAATGCTAAATTTCTCCAAATCTGTTCCCATGAAGAATCTTAACTCATCTACATCTTGGGTGGCCTGAGGGTTTTCAGCATAATTTCATTTTTGGGTGAACTACTCCTTTAATATTAGCAATGTTAACATTTTAAGCAATTTTAGCATACCAATAAAGCTACTTGATCCAGATCAATGCAAAAACAACCAAACTTTGAACTGTGATAGTTCATATACAAATCAAGACGCTTACACTTTCTCTTGCGCTTGGCAGGGTAGCCACACTTCCCACAGGTGGACTTCTGCAGGTGATACGCCTTGGATCCACATCGGCGGCACAATGTGTGCGTCTTATTATGACGCTTACCGAAAGATGACGTACCCTTCGTCTGGAAAACACAAGAATTCACATTACTGCTTAGATTTAAATGTTCCCATTCATACAACAGCAAACTGCCCACCTAGACAGCATTCACTCACATCCTGCTTTGGACACTATTACGTCCATAAGTGATGTCTATGCAGGCAGCTCACTATGATAGCTCCATAGTGGTCTAGATTCTGAGATGTTCCTAAATATGCTGTCTAATTAGGCAGCTCACTAGGTTGTTGCCCTCAAGGTTATGAAGTTAGCTAAGTAAGTTTAGACGAAGATGCACAAGTAGTATGTTTCAGGAAGAATAACATTGATAAGAAGTAACCAGAGACTATGACTTCCCACTGAACTGTCTAGGGAGGGAAGCACACTAGGATATAACGCACAAAAATGCTGTCTAGAAAATCAGCTTGTTAGGCTCCGAGACGCAGACGAGTATGTTTGCAGAAACTTGACCATCTAAACTCATGCCACGCAAGCCACTCAGAAACACAACTCGCTTCGTAACTCTTATCCGACAGTTTTGGGCATTCAAATGGTCCCAGGTATATTAGCACCCAAAACTACGTATATAACATTATTTAAAACGAACTCTTGGAGATAGTTTCAAAGCTAAGCGGTGTATTTCTCGAGCTCGTCGGAACTGAACATGAAGGCTACGCGACATGCTAACCGATAAAAATATAATCGGAACACCTTTCACTATCGAGGAATCACAAACAAAATAGATGATAATGAGTCTTGAATATATATGCTTGTGATATTATTAATGGCACAGCGATTAAAAACAAGCCATGAATCAGATGTTAGAGGATTCTGAAGGCAAGGCGCTGTGAAACTCACCATCTTTCCTCAGAGCTGATTCGAAAGAGACCGGAAGAGACGCTGGTGTACCATTAAAACACCACCGGCGCGCTTTCGGTGCAACAACTAAATACGTCCCCCTTGTGTTACACTGCGGACTTCTTCATTCGAGATGAGCATACATCAATTAGGCTATTTTAATTGTGACGAAGATAAAACGTATTTTCACCGTAATAAGTAACTGTTTTGGTCACAAAAAGATTAATTATAGAAATGCCATGTAGATTTATGATGACAAGATTTATTTATATATTTTTTTATATCATACTGACAACCATTATAGCCTACATATTTCCTCTTAAGCAAATCAATGTTCTAAACAGCTGTCTGTTAGTATAACTGAACACTGTACTAAACTGTAAAGGTTAGGTTTGGTGTAAGAGGCTAATTAGTTTAATTTAAAGACAACAGAAATCAGTGGAAAGCCCAGCAATATTTAATAACAATGTGTGTGTATAGTGTGTGTTATAGCTCTTGTGGGAACGAAGCCAGCAAATTTTTATTGATTTGTCTTTTCCAAACGGTCTTTGCAAGGCCTCACAGCCAATGCCGGCAACCATAAACATGAATTACAGAGCTGACAAAAACGTCTGGGCTTAAATTGTCCCTGAGACCCAAAAAAAAAAAGAAGAAGAAAAATATCCGAAATGACTTTCATTAGGCTGCCACAATCCTCTGATATCACTGAATGGAAAAACACTGATTCTTTCCCATGCAATTCCAGTCTTTGACGCTTTTGTCCCATATCTGATGTCATTCCCTCAAATGTGATGTGAAAGATCAAAGCTTTCATTTAAAAGGGGGATGTGTTACAGCATAATAGGGTTGAAAAGAAACATTTTAGCACAGTGTTAAAAACATATAGTCTTGTTTAGTAAGCAATACACTGTAAAAAATGCTAATAATTTGAACATAAAAAGATTTTATTAACGCATTACTTTCCAAAAAAAGTAACTAAGTGCCGTAATTAGTTACTTTTTTATGGAGTAACGCAATATTGTAATGCATTACTTTTAAAAGTAACTTTCCCCAACATAGGTTCTTCTATACTATATGGTGAAAAAGTATATAGTATTAGATGTGCCATTTTATTAAAAAAAAAAAACACTGTAAAATGATGATTTTTGGAAGTGAAAAAAGTATAGATGATTAAAAAAGTTTAATTAGGCTAATGAAATGAATGATGAATGATGAATGGTTAAATTCTGTTTTTCATGATATATATATATATATATATCATGAAAAGGGCGTTCAAAAGTCCCTGTGTGACACATCACTTTAATCATATTTTATTTAAATAGTTCCTCTTAATAATAATAATAATTATTATTATTATTTGGGCGTTTTATTTATTATTTAGTAACACTTTGCAATAAGGTCACATTAGTTAATATTAGTTAACATTAAGTAACAATGAAAAATACTTCTAAATCATTTATTAATCTTAGTTGATTCCAAGGTTTATTAACATTATTAAAATCGAAAGGTATTACATTTACATTTACATTTACATTTAGTCATTTAGCAGACGCTTTTATCCAAAGCGACTTACAATTGGGGGATACATAAAGCGAATGTATCTAACATTATTTAATGGAAGTGAGTTAACATTAACAATGAACAGTTAATGAACGTTAACAAAGATAAATAAATGGCTACTGTAACAAATGTATTGTTCATTGATAGATAATATTAGTTAATGCAGTCATGTCATGTAATGTACAATAGGCTATAATATTATTGTATTTAGCCTAGTTAATGTTTACGGCATTATTTTAATATCAAGTTATCATGATGTTGTTTTAGCTTAAACATAATATAATGTCCAACTATCAGTGCAAAGTCCAAATTCGTCCTCGTGTAATTGCAGTAACTGACCCCGCATCACATTTTCTAAGCTTTGATAGCAGCCCGAGTCTGCAGTCCCTCCCTGCCCCGCTGCTGCTGCTGATGAGAGGGAGAGGAGCGCGTCACAAACTGCGCGCTCTCCGCATTTGAGACGCGCTTTCTGCAGGAGCGTCGCGTATCGCAGGTTATGCGAGATTTACTACACGTCCACAAATAGACGATTGACCTCATTGGGCAGTTGTACTCTCGCTTTAACTGACATACTCACGGGCAGGTTGCTCAAACGCGATACTGAAGCGAAAGGCAGCTGCTATGGAGACCGAGAGCGCATCGGTGCCCGTAAGGACGGTAAACACGCGCGGGTGTGACTCAGTGTGTCTTCTGTAGGGCAAACGCGACCGTGGGTTTCTCTTCTGAAGGATGGGCTACTCAGATCCGACAGCTAGTAGAGATCTGTTAGGAAACAGATCCTTGTGTTTTATTTTCATATGTGCTTTTGGACTGGTCACCTTATTGCAGCAAATCCTCTATGGCAAGAACTACATTAAAAGGTAAGGTGATTAATTTATTTAATAGCGCATAATGCAAAAAAAAAAAAAATGCAATGTTCTATGAGGGCATGTGCAAAATAGTCTTCAGCAATTAATCTTAGTCATGTTTAATTGCACCCATATGGCTCCAAAATCTCTTTTAAACTTAAGCTCAATTAAATCATGCCATACACAGTCCCCTGAATGACTGTCTATGCAGCGAGATGCTTAAGTCTGTTTTCTTCTTCCTCTGTGTTTATTGTTCTCGTCTTGATTTGTTTTTTCTACCTTCAGCCCTTTAAACAGCTCATACATCTTGCATAAACCTGTGTGTGTGACAGCAAAAAGCCATATATTGCAGAATTGTATCATATGCAATTGTGTCTATAGGCTGTGAAGAAAATCTGGAAGACTGTGATGTAGCCTTCTTTGCATGAGCACATAGCCTAGATTCAAGCACTAGAAATTAATTATGCATTTAAGTCATGGTGGTGTTTCGTAAGATCCGGATTTCATGCCTTTTTTGGGGCCACTTGCATCAAAATGACATCATACCGAGAATAAGTCCCCGGAAGAAGGTGAATCATTTTAGTTTTTTCGGGAACGGAGGTAAGCAGAGTGAGATGGCTCAGCATTGCGAGGGTGTGTGTGTGTGTGTGTGTTTGTCAATGTAAAATGGCGTCTCTCGTAAGAAGCGCCCCCAGTGCATTATGGTTCCTGCGTCCCAGCAGATGCCCATATGCTGAATTGGAGCTTTCTCACACTCCCACCTGAACCCCCCTCTTGCGTCTAACACACACTCAGGATTCATGACATCAGAGCCTGACGGCTGCGGATTGCATGAATGCTGTTCTGTACCCCGCATCTATTCTGCTGAAGTGGAGAGAAACATGTGTAGGGGTGGGTGAGTGCTTTTGGCTCTAACTGCAGCTTCAAACACAGCAATGAGAGTAAATGGACACCAAATGGAGACTTTTCAGTCTTCTAATTCTCAGATTTTCTTTTGACAAAAAAACTCTAAACCTCATGTGTTTCCTTAATGTTTCAGAACAGCGAATGAAAAACTAAGCTCAGATTTCCTAAGAACCCATTGTGAAAATGAACTCAAAACCAATCAAATTAACTCAAAAACCAAGCAATAGTCTCAATATAAAACATTTATCTCCCAAGGCTAATATTTCTGGGTTATGCTATATTTTTAGTGGTGTTTGCCAAGGCAAATGCTATTTGCTACTGATAAATGGACAAATGGTAATATCTATATTTCCAGTTAAGGATTTGACCAAATCTCAAACCCTGCATGGCGAAGAATAACAAAAGTTCCTAAATCCCATAAACTTGAATAGGGTATCAAGCCATAAAAAGGCGTATTATAAATGAGGTACTCCTTTGACTTGGATCAATAAGCAAACAACAACCTGACAACCATCTAAAAAAAACCCTAGCAACTATTCAGAACACCTTAGCAACCGCATAGAAATGCCCTGACAACCATCCTTGCTAAAAAAGAACAATAGCAACCCTCATAGAATTTGTAATGCTTTTAATGGTTATAATGGGAATTGTGTTGGTTTGGAAACTTTAATGGTCCTTGTGGGTCTCTACTGGTATTTGTCACCTTCTATTGGTGGCAAAACCTCTAAATTCTAATAGGATGGCCAAACACACCACAGATAATGGTTTTAATGCTCAACAGTTGATGATTTGTAATGTTTATAATGGTATTTAGAACCATTAGAACTTCTATGATGGTTTCTGCTGTTTTGGAACCACATAGTATTGTGGTGAGTCATGCCACCATGCTTTACATATTCAGAATTTAAAAAAATGAAGCAAATATATTTTTCATAATAACTGTACTTTGTTTGAATACTGAATACTGAATATGCCTCTTGGTTTGACCACAAAATAAGGCAGATGTGAAAGAAAAATATGGAAGGTGCTTCGTGCAATCGAGTACTTGCGCATGCGCATTGTTACTACTCAGTCAGCGTTTACTGCGTCTGTTTACGGCAGACGCCCAAAATTCTAAAAAGAAATACTAATTCATTCGAGTTGAGATCATGAATGTGTTGGGGTAAAAATACCATTCAAGATAACGGTAAGAAAACAAGTCTTTATTTTAAATTAATCGCGCGTCCCATACTATCTTGATTAGAAAACATTCAGTGCAAATAGTATAGTCTGATTAATGAACAACAGACTCTTATGAACTGATTCTTTTTTAGTAAATTATAAACACGCCACTTACTGTATGAGTCGGCTCTTTTAATGAATCGTTTAAAGGGGTCAAATAATGCTGCTAAAAAGAACATTATTTTGTGTATTTGGTGTAATGAAATGTGTTTATGTGGTTTAAGGTTCAAAAAACACATTATTTTCCACATACTGTCCATTATTGTTACTCCTCTCTATCTTGAGTGAGCAGAGGCGGGCGGGCTTGAGAACAGCGCGGCCGGCGCATTCGACGAAGGAGCGGCCGGAGGGCTTGCAGCAACCACGTGTGACAACCCCAGGCTGGACTCTGCTTCGTCCACAGTGAAAGCCGATCCGGCGATCCACAGCGTGAAGTTGATGTATTTTCTCAGCGACCAGCACGGATCAGCTCCAGGCATGATGAAGCGGATATCGTCCTCTTTTGGAAGGCCAACCAAAGTAGTTTTGCTTTCACAACGAAACACACAGCGTCTTCACGACATGGCGGCGGCGGCAACAACAATACTACAGCGAGAATAAAAGTTACGCCTTCTTTCTTTGCGTGAACATTTGGGCGGCGTTATGCAAATCTTCCCACACAGTGATGTAGATATGTGGGGGCGTGTTAGAACGAGCCTCTTTAGGTAGGCGTGGTTGACTCTTAACTTTTATAAAGAATGTCTCTTTGGATTTGAGACTTTAGTCTTTGCAACTTTACAGATCTTCTTTATGCACCAAGAGCTTGTAACACTCCAAAGAGAAAGGAAAAATTGAAATCGCATCATATGACCCCTTTAAAACCGTTCTTCAGAGAGGTTACTGAATCATCATGTGACTCATCTTTTCTTTTTTTTTTCTTTATAAACAATCAATAGTTTAAATATGAAACATTTCTGCCCAATGACCAAGTTAAAGGCTATGGGTTTTGCTTTCTTTTTTTTCTGGTGTTTGCCAAGGCAAATGCTGTTTGGCCATCTGGCATATAGGGCGTTTTCCCGGTGGGTTGACGCATGCAGGGACAAATTCTGTATCGGGGCAGTGTAAACCCAATCACAGTGCAATATAAATATTGCTTCTGTAAACACGATGTTAACAGAGGCCAGAGACTGGACACAATAAAGACAGACACAAAGAGGAGAGAACAGATGCATCAGCAGAGAAAATACAGTACTGTACAGGCAGAGCAAGCTCACTGTTTGCGATACTCGAAATATAGGAAAACCATTCGAAACATTGAATCTGAGGTGGAGGTTTATTAGAATTTATTGCTACATGGCCAAATTAGGATTATTTGAAAGCCTGTTTTAATGACATGTAACATAATTTTTCTACCGTGCCTTTTTATGTATTGTAAAAGTAAAAAATTGTATGTAATTTGAGAGAATATAGAAATATTTAGCCAGTCCTGAGCACCACTCACATTTTCTTCAGAATTTTTAGGAGAAACACCTGAGACACTTAAATGAAACTTGATTGGGCACACAATTAATTCTTGCGTTCTATGAACGAGCAACATCTGAGTGATAAAGTTCATATAGCAAACACAGTCCTTGCGTATGTGTGAGCATGTGACAGTCAGAAGTTATTTTGATATTTACACCTCACATTAAAGCAGTGACAAACACATTTTTATTGCAGCTCAGGTACACGCCAGCCTGGCTGCCGCTGGGAGACACTGACAAATGCATGCATTAATAATGCAGCCACAGAAGGGAATAAAATCACTGAATAAAACGTCCTTTTAAACGCTCCTGCCAAACTTAGAATTATTAAAAAACACTTTATGCTGGACTTGGCCTTCTAATGTCATTGCAATAAGTCTTAAAGCTGTCGGGTTGGCGCAGAGTTACAACTAAAAATAAAACCGCACTGAACTGGCCAGGACAAGAGGTGAGTGCTGCATATACAGACGTTTGTCCGTATGAATCAAATACAACAAGGTTATTTTATTACATTTTCCTCCTAGCTCCGATTACACTGGTGCTAGATTTAGAATCAGCTTCTGCAGTCTTGTGCCAGGCTTGAAATGTCTTCTTTGTCCTGGAGATATTGATTGGCTAAGTGGCTGTGCCATGCAGAAAACGTACTGACATTTAGCTACTACTTCAGCTGTGACCTCTTCATTATCTACTCGACTGCAGAAATGCATCTGTCCTTCATATCCACCTCTCTCTCTCTCCTCTTCGCATTAGCAGCTGAGTTTGCGTTTCTCGTCGAAGAGCTGATGTCCACATTAAACTGATGCTTTTAAGGACATGTAGAAAAATGGTTGTGCATGTATACAGGGAGAACTGGTTTAGGACAGCAGAATTAATCTTAAAGACTTCATGAAATCAGAGTTCTGTAAGCTTTGAAACAATTTTGCATGCTATTGGACCAAAAAAAAATGTTTCCAGTATTTTTTTTTCAATAAAATGCTGAAACGAATTGACATCGGTTTAGTAAAATTTGTCAATTTTGTTCTAATACATATACTAATGCAAGTTTTTTTGAATCCTACACTCTCAGAAAAAAAGGTACAAAAGCTGTCACTGGGACGGTACCTTTTCAAAAGGCACACCTTTGTACCTAAAGAGTCCATATTGGTACCATAAAGGTACATATTAGTACCTAAAGTGTACACTTTAGGTACTAATATGTACATATTAGTACCTCAAGTGTATATATTAGTACCTAAAGAGTACATATTAGTACCTAAAAGGTACAAAAGTGTACCTTTTGAAAAGGTACAATCTTAAAAATAAAGGTGCTTCAAAAGGTTCTTCAAGCGATGCCATAGAAGAACCATTTTTGGTTCCACAAAGAACCATTCAGTCAAAGGTTCTTTAAAGAACCATCTCTTTCTTACCTTTTTATAATCTGAAGAACCTTCTTTCGCCACAAAGAACCTTTTGTGAAACAGAAAGGTTCTTCAGATGTTAAAGGTTCTTTATGGAACCATTTAGACAAAAAGGTTCTTCTATGGCATCGTGAAGCACCTTTATTTTTAAGAGTGTACCACCCCAGTGACAGCTTTTGTACCTTTTTTTTCTGAGAGTGTAGTTACATATTCATCTTTTTATTATGCTTTTAAAATATGTTTTAAGACGTCAATGTCTTATCTCCCAAAACGCCTGTAAATAATCTGGATTATTGCAATCCCCCTTTTTAGATTTTGCCAGTGTTTTAATCCAAAATGCACTGAAGACAAAATGAGCACCAGTAAAATTACTATCTAGAAATGTGCAAAATTTTCAACATCTGTCCTCAGTTTTAAATACTGATGGATGATGGATGAATTAAATTGATCAAAAATGACAGTAAAGACAAAAGATACAGATATATATTTCCAAAGAAATACTGTTCTTTTGAATTTTCTATTGATCAAAGAATCCTGAAAAAAAAAAATCACCATTTCCACAAAAATATGAAGCAGTACAACTGATTTCAGCATTGATAATAATCAGAAATGTTTCTTGGGCAGCAAATCAGCATCTTAGAATGATTTCTGAAGGATCATGTGATACTGAAGACTGGAGTAATGATGCTGAAAATTCAGCTTTGATCACAGGAATACATTACATTTTAACATATAATCAATCAGAAACCAGATATTTTAAATTCTAATAATATTTTACAATATTACCGTTTTTACTGTAGTTTACTGTAATAAATGCAGCCTTGGTGAGCAGAAGAGACTTCTTTCAAAAACATCTTATTAAGTGTATATAAATCATCACTCTCTATTCATTGTTTTCCATAATTTATTGTGACTTTATTTATTGTAACACTTATTGTTTTTTTTTTTCAAGGTTTGAGTCACTTCAAAATGTATGAATGTCTTTGCATTAGATAACAAAATAACAAACCAGTTGATCTTTCATTTAAGGAAAGTAAGGACAAGCAGACTTGATTAATTAATAGCAAAAATGGCTCAGAAAAATGTTGTGAGAAAAGCAGATTCCACTTGGTTTGATATTTTTGTCATCTGATGCAATGACACAGAGGCTTTTTGAAGTGTCTAAAAACTTTTGGCGACACTGTACTTGTGAACTGCAGCTGATCTGATTGTGTTTGCTGTTCTGAATTGCTTCTTTGTCATGAAGATTATCAGTGACACTCCTGACATCATACACCAGTTTTTATTTTTTTTTGATTAAACCAAACCAATGAAAAACTTTTACAAATCAGTGTGTGTTTGACATTTTCTGCTGCCTTGAACAAATACATGAAACCTTAAACGACCTGCCTCATTTTCTCACTAGTGGGCAACAGTTTTCCCGCCTCAAAGGAGAGGAGGTGGGCAACTGGAGCGGGCTCATTAGTTACCCCGATGAAGGAGGGATGAAGCCGGCCAGAAATGGGAGGAAAAGGTACAAACCAGCAACCTCTCAACAACACCACCAACACTCTAGAGAGACAGTGAAAGAGAATGCCACATAGACAATGATCAGCCGCTTGCATGTCTGGACTGGAGACACATCCAATCCCATCAGCCAATCAGACGAGCAGAAATAAACAGCTGTGGCATCTAAAACCAGGACTGATTAGAGTTTCACTGTTAGATTTCCAAAGGTGAAATTAAGCACAGCGATGATCGCTTCAGGACGTATTTTCCCATTCGCTTTCTCCAAAAACAACCTGATTGGAAATGAAATTTTGATATGAAACAAAAAAATTTGAAAAAAGTTTGAAAATCTGAGAAGTTTTTTTTTATAAGTGTGTGGTTTTGATTACAATGGAATACTATCTCACTGCATACTGTACAACATACACTGTATTCTAGCACATTTTTTGGGGGTTAAAAATAGTGAAATCATTTCTATTCATATTTTCTTATACAGTATTTTTGTCGTTTTCTAGTACAAATATCTAAGAATTCTTAAATCAAGATACATTTACTTGAGAAATACGATGGCTTAAGATATGAAGTCTTGCTTTCTGAAAAATCTGTCAAAATTAAGTGAGTTTATGCTTAAAACAGGAACAAATAGCTGCTAATGGGGCAAGAAAAATAATATTGTTTTCCCTTTAAGTTTTATTTTCTAACCCTATTGGCAAATATTTTCTCTTTACATTTCAAAAAGTAGCATGCTAATTTGTATCACTAAATTTGATTTTGTTGCATTGCATGTTAAATTTAGCAAGTTGCATTCAATTATGCTGGAAACTATTGGTGTTATTTTGCATTTTAATTCAGTTTTGTGTAGAAATACATTTTCCCATGCAGTTTGCTTTATAGCATGTTATATGCACAATGAAAAGTACATTTAGCATGCTTTTCTGAACAAAGCCGCTGTACTTAAATGGGAATGAACTACTAATAATTGATTTTAGGTGAAAATAATATGTTTTCAATTTATTGCAACATTCAAATATGTAAACATTATATTACTAAACGTTAAAAAAAAGATAAATAATGATGTTGTATTATTGTTGTAATTTGCATTTTAATTGCACATTATATGTACGCCAAAATAGTAAAATTAGCATGCTTTTCTGAACAAAGCCACTGTACTTGAATGAACTATTTATCTCAGAAAGCATTGCAATGTATATAAACCAATTAACTATTGATTTTAGGTAGAAACTACTATATATTCGAAGTTTATTGCAAAATTAAAATATGCAAACTTTATTAAATAAAATTTATTAAATATTATATGTTATAAAAATAATATATTATGTACATAATTTATATCAATCATATTTGAATTATATCTATAAATGTGTATAAATGATATTTGAATGATATTATAATTTATATTATGTTGTATGGAGGAAACGAATGGGCTTTTTACATTGGGGAACCCTGCTCTTGTGCTCTTTTGTGGTTGTCAGTACTGGGACAGGAACTGAAGGGTCATTAATCCACTTGTATGCATCTTGACAGATGTGTCCGTCAGAATTTTCAGCATTCTGAGGCTCAGAGCTCCGTAGTTATCACGCCCTGCCTAGCTGATATTCAGAAGAAAAAAAAAGAAAAGAAAAGGTAGGCCACACTGATGGCATCTCCAGTTCACCTTCTTGCCAACCTTCCGTCCCCCCTTGAGGATGCCTCTTTGTCTTTTCCATCTGGTCTGAGAGGGTCCGACTGCTCATGCTCAGTGCTCAGTGCACCGCCGCTCCATTTGTGCATGTTGTCTGCAACCTTCCATCCGCCCTCAACCTTTGACCTTTGACCCCATCACCCTTTTCCCGGCTCCCTGAGGTTGGGAGGCCTCCCTTGTGTTCCTCTGGATGTCATGGGTCCCTGTTTCTGTGTCCCATCATGCATTTCTTAAACCCCTCCACACCTCACCTGTGTGTGTCATGAGCACACTTGAGTGAGTGTGTGTGTGTGTGTGTGAGTGCACGCAAACGGTTTGTGTAGTGGAGTGTGTGTATGCGTGTGTGTCATGTGACTGGATTCCCGCTTGCACATTGCACCGCCTCTCTTTGACCAGAATTTTTTATTTTTTTGTCTTTTACGGTTTTTCTTTTCATTTAAATGATCACAGAAGATTGTAATGTGTCGTCGGGGGTGTTGGACTGATCACACATAAAGAGCGCTCATGATTACCCAGTGTGCACCTCTTCAGGCTACAGCACAGTCACATGTCATGACGTCACTCCAGTCAGAGATGTATGGAATCGCTAAATGTTTAATTCTTTTTCTTCTGCCTTGTTTTTCATGCTCCTTCACTTTGTTTCTCTCTTTTTTTTTGTCATTGCTCTTCATTACAAACCATTATTTTAATTAACTAGCTCACATTTACCCACCATAAGCTGTGTGAAGTTAATAGCTTTGCTCCAAAACCACTAAACAGCATCTTATTTATTATTATTATTATTATGAAATGCTCAGATTTTTATTTTACAAATAAATTATTGCAATTATTGCAAATATTTAAACAATAATAAAATAAAAATATTTGGAATAATTGTTGTTTTTATTATTATTATAAAATAATAAGAATAATACAATTCAAATAAAAATGAAATTAAATATTTTTGACATAACAATAATAATATATAGTACAGTAGTGTTATTGCAATAATAATGAAGTAAAAAATAATACAACAAAATAATAATATTTAAAAAATAAAAATGATTTTGAATAAAAAAAAATAAAAAAATACTCAGCTTTATATTGTAGTACAATACAATAGTATTGTTGTAATAGTAGTTGATAGAATAATAATAAAATAATAACATAAATAAAAATATATTGAATAATATTTATATTATAAAATACTGATATTAACACTTAAATAATAACAATAATTAACAATAGTAAAATGTAAATATAATAAGATAAAACAAATGATTAATATAATAAGAAAACTAAGATTATTATTATTATTATTATTATATAATAATATAATAATAATAAAATTAAAATAATTAAATATTTATAATAATATAATAACAGTTATTAGTATTCAAAATAATAAAAGGTAAAAAATAATCAAAATTATTATAATATAATATAATTTCTTCTTCTTCTTCTTCTTCTTATTATATAGTCATATTGAATGTGAGGCATGTTTTCCTTCTTTTTTGTTGTTAGCTGATCATATGCCTGGCTAATGCTATAAGACACAACAGCTAAGACACGAGCTTAAGACAGTAAACAGTTAAGAAAGATTTTTTGTTACCGTACAAAGCTGTTAGGATGGAAAGTATAATTTAAATCATGTTATTATATAACAAAGAAGAACATTTTAAAAAATGGTGTGGTGCTTGTAGCCTTTTACATAAAACACTGTGCGTGTTAAACCCATTTTAGTCTGCTGTAATGGCACCCATTAGCATGGTGGAAGATAGATATACAGGAGGCCTTTGGCTTTGCGAGGGCTGTTAGCAGCCATTTTGGCTCTGATTTCATTTACAGTAGCAGACCGTCCACCATTAAAGCCCATTTAAAGCCCATTAAAATAAAAACATGAAGCACTTAGTATGTTTTCATAGACACGGTGCCCAAGGCAAGACTGAAAACGGCAAACAGAGACAAATAATGAGAAAAACACTTCCTGATGCAGTCTATACACTTGCTCCTATTTTACAGTTCATTCATTTAGTCGGTGTTTGTAATGCATGTTTTCTGTATTTGTGTTCACAACCAAGGTGAGGATTCCCATTTCATCCATTCAAACCCTGCTGCCTGTCCTCATTGTGGTGAAACTGTTATTTCTTTTATATTTCTCCTCAGAACAACAGAAAAGACAGTTTTAAGCTGAATGCGTAACAGAATGAACGAGTCTTCAAAGTGGCTTGTCAACAATCCTCAGGTGGAATTCCTATTATAATTGGGAACCAGTGCAAATGGAATCAAACAAGAATCCTGTTTCACACTGCACTTAGGGAGCGTGTAAGCATTTCTACTCACGAGAGTCAAACAGCGAGTAGGTAGTCCACTGTTGCTTCTCAAAAGACTATATTGCAGAAGACTGTGGTGCTAAATAGGTTCAGTACACCACGCATGGCACAAATAGGCCGTTTTATGCTTTAACCCAGTGATTCTCAATCTGGTGGCCTAAGCACTGCTCCAAAGGGGCCATAAACAAGGCTTAAAAGGATTAAAAACAAGACTAAATATGCTTTCAAATAAACTGAACAACTGTCATTTTTATTTAAGAACCACAATTCTCTTGGAAAACCTGAATATACAAGGGAATTTTAACATTTCTAGACCTGGAAAGGTCATGGACATGACTACAATATTATAAATTGTAATTTTAATGAATGACTGAATGAATGAACAAGAAATATGTTTTTTAGTTATATTAAACTCAAAGATATTTTATCAGATTGAAACCGCTATTTGTTAGTGTTTATGTAATTATACAAATATAATATTTAAAATATCACAAAACGATTAGAAAAGTAAATGTTGGTCAATTTTAATAATAAATAAATAAATAAATATATTTAGAGTTATTTTAAACTAAAATATTCATGTAGAAATTGCTTTTAATATTTAATTATTTTAATATTTAAAGATATTTATTTTAAATAAATATTGTTATAAATCTAATTGTAACGTTTATACTGGATAAATGTTTAAATGTATTTAATTAAATTATTTGAAACTGCCACTCCTAGTTTCTGTTAAAGAAAAAAAAAAGGCTTTATTGAGCAACTTTGTCATTACTCGAGAAGTATCAGAAATATCGTGAACTCTTCAGATATTGTCATTGACATTGGCGGGGGGGGGGGGGGGGG